AGCCGCGCGACGTCCTCGTGCAAACACCCATCGATGTCGAGCTTTGTCAGAGACGGCAACGGCCCGTCGTGAGCCGCAAGGCTGCTGACCACACTCGCCGACGATAGCAACTCGAGGCTGGAGAGGCCCGGCGATGTGGCCAGCGCGTGGCCCAGACCCGCGTCCGTCGGAAGATCAAATCGAGTCAGCGACAAGTGGCGAGCATGGCCAGACGTCAACCAGCGTACCAGCGGCGCGACGAGCGGAAGGGCAGGGACCGTCGCATGCTCGCGTGGTGTGAGCCGGAGCGTCGAGACGCGATGGTTTGGTGTCGTGACGGCCTCGAGAAGGTGCGGCTGGTCGGTCGTCAGGTTCGCCGTCTTCAAGTGTGTGCAGCGAGCCAGTGCACGATGCAGCTCGATGCGGTAGTGCTGGCCAGCCTGCATGTCGGAGCCGTCGAAGATCGTCAACTTGGAGGCCCACTTGTGCATGGCGTCTTCGAAGGCCTTGTACTCGGCATCGTAGTCACGTGCTGGCCTGAAGGGCGGGGAAGGAAACCGGCAGCCGCCGCTCAGGAGTGTCACCTGGCTGTAGACCGCAACCACACTTGCGTCGATCTCGGAGGAGGCGGAAAGGTACAGCACGGGCCAATATTGCCAATGAGCCGACAAGTGCTCCAACAGCGCCGTCAGCGCGGGTGAGAGCATCGTCGTCGCTGGTAGCGCCCTAAGGAGCGAGACGACGTCTTGGCGCGCAGGCGTAAACTGAACGATCTTGATGAGGACGCCCGCGATGTCGAGGGCCGAGGCTGGCAACGTGCGAGGTCGTTGGGGCGCAGGTGCACGGGCAGCCATCGCGAGCTTTGAGATATGGGGTTGCTACAGCCGCCGGATGCCACGCCACTCTGTATCCGGATAGATACTTCCCGCCTTCAACTTTGACCGACCAGCGCACGCCATGCGATTGGCCGAAAAGAAAACAACAACGGACACCGATTGGACCTCTTTAATGAGTGCGCTGCAGATTCTTCTTTTCGGCCAATCAGAACCCATGGATGGCTGCGACAAGGAATAGTGTTGAGAGCGACAAATAGAGCTGCAAATCGGCTCGGTTGTCGTTGAATAGTGTTGGATGACGAGCCAGCGTGGCCGGCCGCAGAGCATGGTGGCGCACCATGACGAGCCAGGCGCCCGAGCAGCTACGATACGCAGACCATGCTACGGTCCTCGGCGTTGTCGCCTGCCATGTTGGCGTCTACCGATGTCTTGCCGTCCAAGGCCGTCATTTTGGACGCCACTTGTTGAGAAAGCCGCAAAACAGTATCTCGAACCCTGCATCACCAGGGAAGCTAACGCCCGCGGTGACCGCCGAGGAATAAAGAGGACTCGCAGTGCAAATCCATTGGATCTTGTTGCAACCGAGGTAGGTAGCGTGGGCCAACCGCACGCCGCCGACAAGCGCCGTCGACGCGGGCAAGCCCGCCAGCAGCGCCGTAACCAGCGAGATGCAGTCGTTGCACACAGGCATACACTGGATGATCCCAACGAGGACGCCCGCGATGTCGAGCACGGAGGCAAGGCCGTTGGTGGTCGGCTACCATCGCGCGATCTTTGAACAATGGTCTCTTGCTTCTTGCCCACGGATTCGAACCCACACCTGCAAACCGTTGCGTTTGCTGTCGCACGATGAGTGAGCACCGATAAGCAACAATGGAAGAAGTCTGCTTATTAGAATCGTTTAGATAAAAACATCGAATCCAACGGGCTCCTCGGCTCGTGGTGCCATGGGTTGATAAGCAAGTGCAGCAGCGTCATACGAAGTATTTACGCCGCTGCCAACAAGGTCAAGAGTGTCGCACCGTTGACAGAACTCGGTTCAAGACAATGTGTCGGTTCAAGTGGACTAGCCGTTACGAGAAGCTCGTTGGTCCACAAGGCCCTTTGACTGCAGTCAGTGACGGACCGTATGACGAAGACGCCAAATGGCAGCGTCAAGTCCAATGCATCATCCCAAAACCGGCTTGCAACCAACTCACTTGGACCGCGTGAGAAAGGTACATAAAGCAAGTCGCCGCGCTGCATCAATCAGTCACTGCTGTCACCAAAAAACCAACCATCTCATACACACTGGAGTCGCACGCCTCGTAGTACGTCCTCACGTGGTGCCTCGACGTGGCCAGCATCCTCGACGCATCCACGCTGGTCGCCGCTTCGAACCCTGCGTCGCGCCCATATGTTTTTGTCAATAATAAACGGTTTATTAATTCTTCTTCTATACACCATACAAGCGGCCAGTCGTTTATCTCGAGTTGGTCGAGCCGTTGCCGCGCTTGCCCGTGTTTTGCCACTTGGCGAGCTTGGGCGTCGCATGGCGATCGGCTTCGCCGGCGCGCGCCATCGTGTTCATCTGGCGCTGCTGCTTCTTCATGAGCTTCATCGACTTCTCGGCCATGGCTTCGTCGCGGAAGCCCGACTCGTCGCGGGGCGCCACCATGCTCTGCGAGCGGCCGCGCGAGCCCGCGCGGGACTTGCTCGCGCCGCGCGACTTGGACGAGCGGCCCATGCTGTGGTCCTTCTCGTCGCCACCTTCCATGTCGACGTCTTCCATGCCGGCTTCGTCGCGCGTGCGCTTGCGGCCACGCGCGTCGTCGTCGACGGCCTTCTTCGCGGCCTTCTTCTCCGCATGGTGGACGTGCGACGCATCGACGCCGAGGGCCTCGAGGCTCTCCTTGTAGCCGTCGATCGTGCGGCGCTGAAACTTGCGGGGCACCGCGGACCGGTTCTTGTTCTTGTTTTGGCGGTGCTCAGCGACCATGACCGACTTCTTCTCGCGGATGCGGCGCAGCGTGTCCTTGTCGTCGTCGTCAAGATCCGACACAATGTCTTCGTCCTGGTCCATCTCGGCGTCGGCGTCGGCGGCCTCTTCCTCGCGTTCGAGCTCCTCGAGGCGCGCGAGGATATCCGGGTCGATAAAGTCGGCAATGTTCTTGCCGTTCCAGATCTCGGGCATGACATCCTTGGTCCACTCGTTGTTCTTGAGCATGCCTTCGTAGTGCTCCGAGTAGTCCATCGAGTAAACGCCCGCGCCGCCGTTCTCGTTCATCTTCATCTTCTGCGTCTTGCGGGGCGCCGCGCTCTCGTCGCGGGCCGCGAGCACGGACGCCGGGATCGTCGTCTCACGGACGACACTGTCCCGCGCGACGGGCATCGCGACCGTGAGGCGGTTCAGGACGTCGCCGACCTTCTTGCCCTTGACCTTGGTCGAGACACGGTGGTTGAGGAGCTCGTCGCACGCGTAGTTCTTGACATCCGAGACGTTCTCTTCCGAGTGGTTGGACATGCAAAACATCTTGGCGTTGGCCGTCGAGACCGCGCTCTCGATCATGCCACGGTGGTGCTCGGGCAGGTTCATGTACGGCATCTGATCGATCTTGTTGCAGACGAAGAGCAGCGGCTTGTTGGCGAAGAGCGGGCGAATGTTGGCAAACAAGCTCAGCTGCTGCTCGATCGTGAACCCGCACTGCTCGGAAATGTCCATGAAGAAGAGCACGGACGCCTGGAGATGCGCAAGCGCGGTCACGGCCTGCATCTCGATCGTGTTGCGCTCCTCAAGCGGGTGGTCCAGAATACCGGGCGTATCGATGACCTGCCAGCGGAGGTACTTGTAGTCCATGTGACCGACGTACAGCGCCTTGGTCGTAAACGCATACGGCTGCACGTCGACGTCGGCGCGCGTGACCTTGTTCATGAAGCTCGACTTGCCGACGTTGGGAAAGCCGGTCACAAGGAGCGTGCGCGTGTTCGGGTCGATCGACGGCAGGCGCGAGAGATGCTTGCGGACTTCCTCGAGGTAGTCGAGCGACGACTTGTTCTTCTTGAGGAGCGTGCAGATACGACCGAGCGCCGCGCGCTTGAGCTGCTTGCAGCGGTAGAGCGTGTCACCGTACTTGATCATGCGCACATAGTCCTTGGCGATGTTGTCGATGAGCGCACGCGCCGTGTTGATCTGGCCGAGCGCGAGCTTGTAGTGATCCTTGTCGTACAGGATGTTGATAAGGTCGGCGTAGAACGGATGGATGTCGTCGAGGCGCGGGAAGTCGTCAATGATCTGACTCAGCTTCTCCTGGCACGTCTGCTGCGTGAACTTGACCTTGCGCATGTAAAACGCGCGGATGCGCGAGATCGCATACGTCGGGTGGATGACCGTCGGCGTCTTGCGCTGCGTGCGCGTGAGGATGATGTCGACAAAGTCGTTGGCCGGCGGGACGGTCTGGATCTTCTTGAAGTTGTAGACGACCATGCTGCCTCGACTCAAATGCGGAAATCTACGCTCTCCAAGCCGCGCCCGCCTATATTTATGACTGGACAACACCTAGCGGCCAACGGTTGGTCCGAGCGCCTGACTTGGGTTTGCGACGAGGCCATTGGCTGGCCTTTCTAGCGTCCGCGCGATGCCATTGGCCGAGATGTGATACGCAGGCGCCGATTGGTGGAAAAGCAATATAGAGTTTTGACCAATAGCCGGCGAGAGGCGCACGGATTGGCCACAATCACGATGAAGCGCAATCCGATCCATACGCGCCATCGCGCGACGCAGCGCGTTGGACGGTTGCTGTAGCAAGCGCCGACGGAGACGACTGCGTCGCCCGTTACGACGCTGACAAATGGTATTCGCCAATGTTAGAAATGGTGCTCAACGTGGTGGGTTCGAGCTGCATTGCGAGCGTCATGCAGCAAGCGATGACTGTAGAGATCGATGACATGGACGCAGCTGAAGCGCGTTGATAGCTCAGTGTGTCTTGATGGTGCTGGACGTGGCAATGAGCTTGTAGGTGAGCGTGGTTGCGAGCAAATGGCAGAAGAGATGTGGGTTGAACCACAAGCAGGACTGCATTCAGCCAACCTTTCATATCAACTAATAATACATCGTGCTGCTTCTGCTACAGCCGTCGCCGGTGCAGGATCCTCACAGAAATCATAGTCGGCGTCGGTACTAAGCACGACGGCATCGTCAACCTCGTCGCCAGCATCCTCGTCCTCCGAGTCGACAGTCGCGTCCAAGGCGTCCATGGCATCGGCCTCACCGGCCAGCTCGTCATCATAGTCGCTGCGTCCGTAGTCAACCTTGCGGTGGGGCTTGCGCTGACCCCAGTAGTAGTACCGCCGTCGGCTCAAACGACAGCTATTGCCAAAGCTGCAGTCGCCGTGGGTCTCGGATTTGTGAATGCGCCGCATGAGCTGCTTGGCTGCGGTTGCCGCCTCGGCAACGTAGTCGGTGGCATTGGTGCCCTTTGCCAGTGCACGCAAGGCGTCACAGTCGGTCGTCGTCACTTGGTGCAACAGCCGACCGTGCAGTCCCACAGCGCGCATCGCATCTTGTTCGTACCGTAGCCGCCGCAGCTGCTTGGTCACTCGCACCGCGATCGCGTGGTCGATAGCACCTCGCGAGTTGTCGCGGGCGAAAATGGTTGCGCAATGAGCACTCGGTAGAACATCGAGGGCCGGGACATAGGGCAGGCCCAGTGCCTCAATATCGTCGACGTCGCGGGCACTTGGCACGTAGATTTGGCGCATTGCAAGGCGAGCGAGGAGACTCTGCGCCGTCTGCTGGACGTACGGTGCAACGGCCGGGGGCGGCACCCGGCGGAGGACCGCGTAGTAGGCTTCGAGAGGGTCGTTGTTGCTGAAGCGCTTGGTCGTGCGGCCTGTTGTTGCGCGGTGGAGCCGTCGCGCCCGGGCGTAGACAAGGTCGCCCGAAGCGAACGAGGTAAAGCGCGTCTCGTCCATGGCTGCTTGTACAGTGAATTCAAAGGCTAATGCCGTGGGCACTCGTACCATCATTCACAAATCGCCCTTGAGAAGCTTGGTGGTGAAGGGCTCTTTCTTCCATGAGGTCGAAGCATCAAGAACAAAATGGCGTCCGTCATAGCAGATGCCGGAACGCTCGCCAGAGGATGTGTGGCGTGCGGCAACTTTCAAAATGCGATTCCCAATGTGACGAGTGTATAGCTGTACCATGGCCTTGGCTGTACCGAAGATTTGGCCGTACCAAGGATTTGAGCGGTACATAGCTCGACTGTGAATCTGTTTCTAGTGAGTACAACCATAACGAGCTGTAGCGTCCTCCAGCCTCGTTGTCCCATCAAATATCTCTTTAAAAAATAGCAGTGCCAGGACCCGATTGGCTCGACGAACCGCAGCAAGACACCCTTCCTAGTCCATTCAAAAGATTTGGTTGTGTGGCAAAGAAAACACATTTTTTACATTTACCCAAGTGCATGTTGTGTCTGGGGTGATGTTGATACGCGCAGCTTTCAAAACACTCCCATTCTTGACACAAAGGGGTACATGAGCTACAGTATGCACGATTAAATACTTACATTTGTTAGCCTTTGTTAGTTAGCTTATAGCACACATAGTCTGAGGCATTGGCGTCGGTGTTGCGACCACGTCGACACAAAAGTCGAACTCGTCGTCGCTGCCTTCCGTCGCAAGGTTGCTTTCCTCGTCGTCGTCGTCGGTAGCCCACATGTCGCCGAAGGCATCTGCGTTTGCTGCGACCTCGTCGTCATAGTCACGGCACCAGTTGGTCTTGCGATGGCGCTTGCCACATCCCCAGTCGTGCGTTCGCCGGCGATCCAGCCGACAACTATTGCCAAAGCTGCAATCGCCGTGGGTCTCGGACTTGTGGATACGCCGGCAAAACTGCTTGGCCGCGGCGGCGGCTTCCGCTGCGTAGTCTCTTGTATCGGTCTTTGCCGCCAGCTCTTGCAGTGTGCATCGGTCCCGGGTCGCGACGCGGTGCAGTAGCATGCCTGGAAGGCCGACGTGGCGCATGGCCTCACGCTCGTACTGCAACTGTCGCAGCTTCTTGCTCAATCGCACTGCCACCTTGTGCGCGCTCGGGCTGCGCGAGCCGTCGCGGGCCAAGATCTGATCGCTATAATGACGTGGCAGCGCTTCCAGGGACAACACGCGGGGAAGACCCAGCGTCTCGAGGTCGTCGAGGTCGCGGTCGTTGGGCAAGTAGATTTGGTGTTTCTCGAGCCGCGCAAGGAGGTCGCGGGCGGTGGCTTTCATGAACGGCGCGACAACCGGCGGCGGCGTCCGGCGCATGGTCGCGAGGTAATCTTCAAGCACCCAGTTGCTCACAAAGCGCTTGGTCGTCCGTCCCGTCGTCGCGCGGTGGAGGCGGCGCGCGCGGGCGTACACAGTGTCACCACTGATAAACTTGGTGAAGCCTGCCTCGTCCATCGGTGTTTACCAAATGCGGTGGTCATACAGTACCAGCGTGCGATCCAAGACCATCATTCACGATCAAGAAGACCTTCACTGCCACGATCCAACAACCAACAGCAGCAGCCGCCGAGCAACGAACAGCCGCCGTGTGTTTCAAGTAAGCCAACGAAAATCGCTATTCGTACGCCTGCCATAAGCCAACTATGATGGATTCGACGGTAGCTATCCAATCCAAGCTATCTCTTGTGAGGGGGTAAGAGATTCAACTAGCTATCCAGCCATCTTTTGAATGCGCTTTCGATCGAGTGAATCAAGGCACCGTGTCTCTCAGTTAGATACGATGCGCTGGTCGATGGATGCATCGTCATGATGTACTCTTGATGCAGTTGCAATGCTGGACTATCGATGCATGCGGCGCTTTCTTCCAACCTCGAGTTAAAGAAGCCTGCCACCAAAGCGTCCAGTCGATGGCACACGCCGAGCAATGACGACTGTCGTGGACCACACCACGCATTACAGCACATTGAAACTGCATGGAATACAAGTTAACTAATCACGCACGATATGGGTGGCGTCGGCAACGGCTCGGCGTCGCTGCATAGATCGTAGTCGCAGTCGTCGTCGTCGTCGTCCGACTCGAAAAAGTCGCTTTGTGTAAACGAACTGTAGCTTCCCATGCAATCGGCGGCGGCCGCACACTGTTCGTAATAAGCGTCCATGGCACCCGCTTGGTCGTCGTCGAAATCACGATAGTAGTTGATGTTGCTCTTGCGCTTGCGATTGCCGCGCGCACGTTCGTGGTCGCGCCGGCACTGGCGCCGGCAGCTGGCGCTAAAGCACAGCCCGCCGTGGCTTTGGCACTTGTGAATACGCCGCAAGAGGTCTTTGGCCGACTTGGCCGCTTCGGCAGCATAGTCGGTCGTGTCGGCATCGGCGGCCGCGGTCTCCAAGCGGCCTCGGAACGGGGCCACTTGGTACAAAAACAAGCCTGGGAGGCCAACAATACGCATGGCCTCGCGTTCGTAGATCAGTCGCCGCAGCGTCTTGCTCAATCGCACTGCCACCTTGTGCGCGCTCGGGCTGCGCGAGCCGTCGCGGGCCAAAATCTGATCGTTATAATGACGTGGCAGCTGGTCGAGCGACGACACGCGGGGAAGACCCAGTGCTTCCAGATCGTCGAGGTCGCGGTCGTTGGGCAAGTAGATTTGGTGTCTCTCGAGCCGCGCAAGGAGGTCGCCGGCGGTGGCTTTGATAAACGGCGCGGCAACCGGCGGCGGCATCCGGCGCATCTCCTCGTAGGAGCATTCAATGTACCCTCCTGGCTCAAGAAAGCGCTTGGTCGTCCGTCCTGTCGTCGCGCGATAGAGGCGGCGCGCCCGTGCGTACACTGTGTTGCCATCGATGAACTTGGTAAAGGTGGCTTCGTCCTCAAACATGATGATGGCTCGATGGGGGCAACAATGCAAGACACACACACCGAAAATGCTCTCTGGAGAACCTTCACTCACGAAATGGGCAACACAGCCGTGCGCACGTTTAAGCTGGTTCTTCCGTGCAACTGCACACCTGTGTTGGTTCCCTACTGCCGTGAGCAGGCGATGGCCTCCCATCAAGCAGGACGCACGCAAGGCGAAGCCCACGACTGTTGTCAAGATGCATGCGCAGGAGAAGCGGGGCTCTAGATCTTCAAGTGACGTCCCTTTCTTCTCTTTCCTGGCATTGGAACCAACTTGGCAATTTGGTCTATGTCACCTCGCCCATGCCCTCGCACGGCCTGTCGTCCATGTAGCGCAATCGTCGCAGATATGTTGTCTCGCGTGTCTAGCGGCTCGCCTGGCTGTCTAGAGCGGGGAGGACTTGTCAATAGTAGTACATGAGTTGAGTGTCTTGTCCTTATGAGCTTCGTTGGGGGCTACTCGCACCAGCGTTGGTGCCGGGTAGGTCGTTGCAAAAATCGTAGGCGTCGCCGTCATCACGCTGGCCGTTCTCAATCGCGTTCTCTTGCGCATCAAACGACTCGTGCGCAGTATCCAGATGCATCTCTTGCATCGCGTCGGCAGCCGCGGCCGTGTCGTCGTCGCAGTCCCCGGCCCACGTGGCTTTTGCGTGGCGCTTGCCGCGACCATAGTCGTGGAACCGCCGCCGGTCCCAGCGGTTGTACTCGCTAAAGCTCGCGCACCCGTGGGTTTCCGACTTGTGGATGCGCCGCATAAACTCCTTGGCGGCAATGGCCGACGCTGCCGCATAGTCGGTCGTGTCGTTCGCTGCCATCGCCACCAGCGACGCGCACTCGTGGGCCGTCACCTGGTACAGCAGTGTGTTCCGGAGGCCAACCGCGCGCAGCGCATCCCGCTCGTCCTGGAGCGGCCTCAGCTTGGCGCTCAGTCGAAGAGCGATTTTGTGCGGTGCATCGCTGCGCGAGCCATCGCGGGCCAAGATGGCGTCGATGGCATGGGCGGGTAGCTCGTCCAGCGACCGGACGCGGGGCAAGCCCAGTGCGAGGAGATCGTTGATGTCGCGCTCGTCGTGTACGTAGAACTGGTTCTTCTCCAGGCGAGACAAGAGGTCGCGGGCGGCGTCACGCACGTGGCGAGTCACCGGCGGCGGCGGTGTCCGGCGCATGGTCTCGAGGTAGTCTTCAAGCGCCCAGTTGGCGACAAAGCGCTTGGTCGTACGGCCGGTCGTCGCGCGGTGGAGGCGGCGCGCGCGGGCGTAGACGGTGTCGCCGCTAACAAACTTGGTGAAGCCGGCCTCGTCGTCCATTTAGATCGTTGGCAAGTGGCATCCAAGAGTGGCATCGCCCGTTTTTTGACAACCAATCACATCCGGATAAAAAACGACACCATTCACCGACGCAATAGCATCGTATTACTGTCGTATTTAGCACAATCAATTCAAAAGCCAACTTTAGAGCTTTTTAGAGTCTCAGTTTGCGATAGACGGTTTTTACTACGGCCCCCAGCCTTGCAATGGGGCCCATACCCACCCTCATAACCCACCCAAACCTATGAGCGATGCATGGGGGTGGGTCATATTTAGAGGTGATGGGTGGGCGTGGGTGGACCAAAGGAAAAAATTGATGAGGGAGGACCCATGGGTTTGACAATTTTCGACTTTGCCCCCAAAATGACATGCATGCACTCTGCCAATAAAATTTTAACGCAAGGTCGACGGGCGGATGACAGCCAAGTGGGTGCGTGTGCGATACCGATCAATGACCGTGCATGTACATATATGTATGTAGGACCAGCAGGTCGAGGCCGCGCGCGACGGTCGTCTGGCCGATGTGACCCGGTTTGTCGAGCACGAGGGCGTGGACCCCAACTACGAGAATGGCGTCCGTCGCATCTCGACCTTGGCACGCAATAAGATACGGTGTCGTAGCAAGCCTTGTGGTGGGCGGCAGGCCACAAGCGCACCGACGTCGTCGCGTACTTACTGACCAAGAAGATCCACACCGAGTGTCGGAGCGTCGTACGTCGCTTGGGCTGGATGATGCGATGGCCGTCATGTACTTGAATAGAATGCTGATACGGTACTGCACACGGCTCCGTACTTCAGAGCGTTGAAAACGCAAGCCACTCTTTCTGTGGCCGCTTCACTTTTTCATAGTGGCACATGCCACAAATAGACATATTTAGACACTATATATGGTTATACATGGCAGACGCCATGATTAATTACAGGGACATTTCTCGTGCTGTACGCATCGCCTGACAATGCGACATAGCGCAACGTACTCTCCAAAGTGTCTTTTATCTCTATGCCAAGCTGGAGCGATTTCGTTTTAAACTTGATTAGGGCGTCAGAAGCGGTCGCTCGCCGAGGATCGCCCGGCATGGCGACGCCAATCGCCTGTGATTGGCCAAAAATAAGAATATTCTAGCCAATGCGATACGGTATGCCTTGGGAGCCTGCCATCTAGCGCAGAACAGCCTCAAGCAGCAAGCATGGCACATGGTATTGTGGCGGGTCGCCTTATAGAAAACCTAGCACGAGAACGAGGTCGCACCTTACGTATGGTGCGTAGTTTGGGACGCGGGTGCGCTCGACTGCACTGTGATCTCGTCGCAAGCACAGCGGTGGTCCGTGTCAGGGTTAGGGTAGGATAGGGTACGGGTCGGGATGCTGTGGGTCGTACTTTTGGGTGCACTGTGGCTCGCTTGACGCTGTCGCAATCGTGGCGACCAGTGCAGGCCAGCAGGACTCTGAAAAACAAGGCGTTCGAATTGCGAACGCCTTGTTTTCAGACGATGTGCTGCACATCGTTGCAGATATGTTGTCTCGAGTGTCTAGGGGCTCGCTGTCTAGAGCTGGGAGGATCACGCGCCGCCTGCTGGGAGGACGGCCTGATAGATGAACCGCTATCTTGGCCCTCGCAAAACTTGGCGAAGAGGTGTTTTGGGCGTTTGGATATTAGCAGGTTGTACAACGATTTAGACGTCTGTATGTCGGGCCATTCCCAGCACGCGATGTGGTGCATTGACAGAGCAAATGAAGCACGTATGGTGGATGAACCTTGTATAATTGCGCTACTCCTCTAGATGATAAACGTATTGCCTTCAACATGAGCTTTCGGCGACGCATTCGTCACGGGCCGGCTGCGCGTCTTGCGCACGCCGGCGGGGACCGCAGAGCCGGCGCGCCACAAGCGGTGCCAAATGTCGTAGCACGTCACTTGGGCGCCGTTGTACTCGCGCAACCGACCGCACAGGTAGACGGGTTGGTCGTTCTTCTTCGGACAGCCACGTCAGAACCTGCGCGATGAAGCTAAACGATTTGTTGTTGTACTCCGGGTACGTACGTGGAGACCTTGCACGGATTCTCGCCTTTGGCTGCCAACGCAGCGCAAACTTTGCACGTCAACGCCCGCAGCTTTCCCGATGGCTGCGTCTCCTTGGTCTTCTCGAGGACGTGAGAAGTGCCAACGACTTGTGGGGCCGTCGGCGGTGGCGGCACGTCGGAGAAGGCACTTTCATCCAGCTGCAACAGTGCCTTTTGCAAGTCGGCGAGAAACGTAAAGCGGCCACGGGCGACGAAGCCGGGAATGGTGTCCGACGTGTTGGCTTCGACGGTGTATCGATGGACAATGTAGGCATTCGTCAGTGCCATGTCGACAAGACCTACCAATATACGACATGGATTATAGGGCAGCCAGCCATTCAATGGCGTACCGAGGAAAAGATGGTGGAGGTTGCCGGCAACCGTGACCATGTCCGTCTCTCCATCGGTGGCTTTCTTGCCCAAGTACACTTTGAATCTGGAAATGGAATTCGTTTGAATCCAGCAGAGGCGAACCAAGGACGTACCGTGAGCAGAAGTACGACTTCGAGCAACGAGACGCAAAGAGCTTGACGCCGATCTTCTTGGACTCCGTCGGGCGGTATGGGTGACAGCGACTGAAGCTGCTGCGGTGCGGCAGCATCATCTCGTCCAACGCGATCTTCTCGTCGTGCACGTAGGATTCCCTGAAGGTTTTCTGCAGGGTCTCGATGATCGGGCGAATCTTCCTCGCTCGATCAGTCGCCACGGCCGGGTTGGCGTTGTCGGTAAAGTGGAGCGCCCGCGTGATGTGGCTGAACCGGCTCCGCGCCATGAACTGGCCGAACGTTCCGGCTGGCAACGCGCCGGACGACTCCGTCCTCCAGTGCAGCGCGAGCGGCCCTGTAGGACGGAGGAGCGATCTCGCAACGACGAGGCCGAGCCACGTCATGAGCTCGTGTGGCTTCACGCGCGGGATGCCTATCGACATATGATCATCTGTGACGCGACTGCAACGTCTGGACTACTACTTTCAAAGCACTTTTCAATCTCGTCCAGTGTCTTCTTGTTGCCAGGGCGCTCGAAGGCCTTTTCAGCGTGGATCTGGATCGTGGCGCGCCAGTAGTTGTTGGCCTCGTGCGCTATGTTTTTCCACATCTCCTTGGGCATGAAGTGGAAAAAGAGCGCAAGCGGATCGCCTGCAATGCGCAGAACGTCGGGCGTTGGCCCAGAGTAGCCAGAGTACGGTGGGTCGGTCGGTTGCCACGCGACAGAGTCGTCCTCTACCACGGAATGCCATCCGGTCGCAACAAGCTCGCGCACAGTGGCTTCGTTCATCGTCGCAGACGAGACGGCAGCTGGGCCACCTACGCCACAATCCCATGAGGCAAAAATGCTCCAGAAAGAGATTACCGAGTCGCTGCAAAAATGCGGTGTCGATGGCGCCGAGGAGTACGTCGACGCCGGTATCATCATCGTCTTCGTCATCTCGCTCGTCCTCGCTCTCGAACGCCACGGAGCTCGATGCGTCTTCTGTCGGAAGCGTGATGTTGGGATCGCGGAAAAGATCGTTGTCGTCCTGGTACAGATCGCTGATCGTCTGCCGTTCTGAGGCCCTATCTCGCGTTGGACCCCATGCTCGGTGGACATGACATGTACCGAATTCTGCCTTCTTCAATGCGCCGCTGTCGCTGGGCGTCGGCTGTGGCGGCACGCTTTTTGGCGACCTCGGCAGCGAGGGCTTGTGCTGGCACGGCATCATTCTCGTCCACGGTTGCAGCAAGGGACCTTACAGCTGATAAGCATGCAATATTCATTCGGTCGTAGATAGCATACCGCTTCGCGCGCGCCTTCGAAGCTGAGGCCTTTGTCGGAGCGGCCTCAGGAGGCGGCACCGTCGTGGAAACTGCTGGCGCTGTAGTTTTGGCGCTCTCTCTACGTAAGCAGTTCGCACTAATAATCCGATTGACGTATAGTGTACCGTTGAGTTGAGGTCGAGGGAGGCGCCGTCGTCGGCTCGAGCGACCGTCTTGTCGACGTCATATCGGTCAATGATGACCCCCTTTCTACGCCACGAGGACCACCCAAAATGGGGGGATGGTCCGAAACATAAAATACAGGTTCGTGTTGTGTACTAAAATGTATAGAGTATTAAAAAGAGTGTTTTGGGTATACCATGGTGGTGACCGTCTTTTTTGTTGGCATCATCGGGCACACTTTCGATACCGCTGTATCTCCACCGGGACACGCAGTATTTGGCCACGCCAACGCCGAATGTTACTTGTAGTGCGCCAGAAAGAAATACAGGGCAGAAACTCCATTTTCCTGGTAGGAACGTTTACGTGGTGTACCAGCATCCCAGGGGATTAATTCGGCGTGTCGTGTCTCAATCCGGCCAACCCATTGGCTATAATTCCAGATTTGCTGACCAATGAAACGCAGTTTCATTGGTCTCAGCCAATCGCATCGCGCGAAATGTGTCCTGTCAAGTGCGATTTTGGAGTTCCTGTTAAGTGCTGTCACATGATTCACATTATACTTGATTTTGTATCAATTAAGTACGACGCACTTATCAGGGGTGCATTTATAAGTGCGTCGAAGCCGCACCTAATAGAGCCTCTCAGCGCGTTGATTTCCCGACAGCGGAAGCGCGCGGAGACACCGTCATGACAAGGACACACTCTAGAACCATGGGGCCTCATGGGAAGCAGTTGGAGCCACGAACGGTGTACGAGGTGGAGCTCTTCCGGGAGCGGCAAGCGCAGAGGATGCAACAAACCCGAAGAAAGCCGAGACTCCCGAAGCGTTTGCAACCCGCCGCAGCGACCCCATCGACGAAGGCCAACTCGACTCATGTGTATCAAAGATGCTCTGGAAGAACTACGTGACCCAGATGACCTAGGTGCGATGCCACGTTGAAGACTGCAACAAGCGACGACGGCGCGTTGGCCCGGAAAAGTCTGCGCACCGCAGCGCAGCGAAGGTCGCGCGTTGACTTTTGTCTAGGCCAACGCGCCGTCGTCGCAAA